AGGGAAGAGTCATGTGTTGAGAGAGAAGAATAATAGGCTGTATTGGTACCCATGAAATACAAAAATGAGAGGAAGTGTTCCAGGACACTGGGTACATTTTCTGTGGAGGCTTTGTGGGAAAACATAGGCAAGAATTGCATGAGATAAAAAGACATGGATGAACTCTAATCTGCACCAATGAAAGGAATCCTTCCATCACCACATTCATAAATCCAGTGAAGTATTAGTAAGCAGAACCTTAATAAATGACTTCACTAATTATTCTTAAGTCAGACATTACCCTAAGTCTAGTTTTTAGGATTTGAGGCAGATAGATGGCATAGTGGATCAGACCTGGAGTCAGGAAGTCCTGGATTCAAATGCACTTTCAGATACTTACTAGCTGTGTGACCTTGGGCAAGTTACTTCACCCACTTTGTCTCAGTTTTCTCATCTGTAAAATAAGGGGGAGAAGGAAATGGCAAAGCACTCAAGTATCTTTGTTAAGAAAACCCCAAATGGGGTCATGAAAAATCGGACATGACTGAACAACAAGAAAAAGGTTTTAGGGTTTATCCTAGCTAAACAATATGGACAGAACACGGATGGAGGGTTTGGGCCACTTTAAACAGGCACACCCTTGTCAACCAATTGGAAAGACTTCACAGAAATCACATCAGGTGCCAAGACTGCCCCAAATGTCAAGTCACCTGGGTCACAGTCTAGTTTGGTACTGTATTTTTTGTTTTGTTTTGTTTTAGTAGTAGTTTTTTGTTGTTTGGTCATGTATCGACTTGGCCGTTATCATTCACAGTTGTGAACCTGGCACCTTTTAGAAGCAGTAAAAAAGCTTTTTTAAACAGCATAACAAGCCATCAGGAAATCCTGAGTTCTGAAACAAAGGCATAAAAACTAAGAAAAGACACACCACCATTTTCTGGATTTGCCAGGATATGAGTCGTTGCCTTGGGAATAAGTTAAGAAAGACACCACAATTGCAGGGCAATAGACTACAGGGCCCCATGAAAAACAAAACAAAAAATTGTAAGAAAGAAGAGGCTTACGAGCTTTCATTCTGGAGAATTTTAAAAAAAAATAAGAAACTGAAAACTCCCTTTCAAACTTGGGCTGAAAATGGAGACAGAGCAAGAAAATGAATAAGAACACTAGAAGTAAGTTAAAGCTTTCAGGATAAACATAAGAGCAGAAGAAAAAAAAAATCCAACATCTAAACCCCAAGATGATTTAATGCCAGCTAAAGGAACTAGGGAAATGGGGAGCATTTTTATAAACATGCGTTTTTTTTTTCAAGGAAAAAAAAGAAAGTAGATCCATTAATAAATGAGGAGGGAAGCAGAAAGCTAAGATAACTCTAAAATGCCTGAGCATTTTGGTGACTTTTAAAAATTGATCATTAACAAGAAAAATAAAGATAAGGGGTATGGACAATTGAGGAATAATAAAGATTTTGTTGATGTGGCTATTGAAGTTATAAAGAGCAGGAGGCCTAAATACCATGCATCCCAATATATTTAAAGAAATTAGCTAATGAATTTGCAGGCCTATAGACAATTTTTTTCTGGAAAAGCTATCAAGAATAAATAAGGCGCTAAAGAGTTGGTCATTTTTATATCTTGTACCTGTAGAGATAACTTTGAAGATGTTCAAAACCTTTTCCAAGTAGAGAAGGTGTCATAGTTTCCATTCAAATGAAAGAAAACTGAGTCATTGGAGACTGTAAGAGGCCTCGGAATTGTTATAAGATCAAATACCAAGGCAGTGACAAATGAAGGCTCACTTTCTATATTCTTTTATTGCATCTTCCAATGTAAGTAAGGAAACAAAATATGTTTCTTTATGAAAGTAAGGAAACTATAGTTTTGATCTTTCCAAAAAGGAGAGAATACTTTTTGCCCCCAGAAGCTTCATTTTAATCCTTAGTGGGAAAAAGGAAAAAGAAAGGTGGTGTAAACTTTTTGCAGGCTTGCAGAAAGGATATGTATTTCCTGTCAGCTGCTTTACCCCTCTGGCTGAGAGGGCCTCTGGCAGTCATTTCAGAAGAGGCAGACATGCCATCTATAATGTAATCTCTTCTATGTACCTTTCTTTCATCCTTCTTCTTGTTCCCAGTGCCCTGTAGCCTGTAGCAGAATTAAACATTTTGAATTCCACATATCTTACAAGTCCACCTACCCCTCACCAAATATCAGAAAGAATCCCTCTATCTTCTGTTAACTACAAAATGAATAAACAGATCTTCAATTCTGCTGCAATATTGAGACTACTTGGGCAATATTTATGCCCATGAAGAGAATAGGCTGAAGTCTTTTACAATTTCCCCATGCAGACAGAAGCCACATGAGTATTTAACCCCCAACAAGATATGAACTGGCTTCTAGAAAGTATTTACCTCCTGGAGTCGAATGTTTATTATGTGTAAATGCAATGTTTAAGGAAGATTGGGCTGTGAAGAAAAGGTGCAATAGCATTATACAGAGAAAAGGCTTTGTAATTGGAGGATTTGAGCTCAAATCTTGACTTTGCCTCTATGGGACCTTGGAAAATCTCTCTCTCTCTCTCTCTCTCTCTCTCTTCTCTCTCTCTCTCTCTCTCTCTCCTCTCTCTCTCTCTGTCTTTCTGTCTGTCTCTCTCTGTCTCTGTCTCTGTCTCTGTCTCTCCTTCAGCCTGACCATCTATAAAATGAGAGGGTTGAACTAAATAACCTCTAATGAATGTCCTTTGCGGTTCTTGATCCATTATCTTAGCATTCTATGACCCCTGATTAATGTTCCCAGCTGAATTAGCAGAAACCTGAATTAGTAGAAAGAAACAACAAGAGTCCCCACACCATGACTCGTGGGTTGTCTCTCAGAGACCCCCTTGCCCCTAAGGAACCTCAATCCTTGCAGCTCACATCCTAGCTCTTGTTTGAGACAATATCAGAGGCCAGAAAGTATTTTTATTCTGCTTTCCTAGTGGCCGGGTTAATGGATCAATGACAGTCCATAAAGAACAAATTGTAGCAAGCAAGGACTGTCATTTTGTCCTTGGCCAACTTTGCTAGAAGAGAAAGGGAAGATGGTGGACATCTGATATTTGGTGAAGCTCTTGGTGGTATATCACAGAATGCTAACTGGAAATGAATTTCTATTGGCCTGCTTATGAGAATAGTACAGCAGATTGAATTTGAAGACTACGGGTACAGTAAACAAAGAGCTGTGATAAGTATCAAGATATTTCTCTCAGCAAATGTGGCCGGTTGTGGACTATAGGGAGCCATTTCCCATCTCTCTAACAGTCCTGTGAGGTTTTTTATGACAATGATCTCCATAGCAACCAGGTGCCCAGACACTAAGTGGATTTTAAAGATATTAAATTGGAGCCTGGTGAGGGAAATCCTTTCTGGCTTTGGTTTCACTGGAGTCACATTAGGATAGGAGTTAGTGGGTGGGATCACTAGATTTGGGGGTTTTCTCCCAGGACTCAGTTTTAAGTCCACAGTCAGCTGAGATGGGGAGAGGAACCTGGCCTCTTCCTCATGAGCAGTTTCTTTTATTATTTTTACTAATGATGTAGAAGAAAAAGTAAACAGTAGATTAATTAAATTTGTATGAAGTTAAACGAGGGAGGTGTTGCAAACACCGGCAAGGACAGAAATTATGTCAATGGCCCTGGAGGAATTAGAAATACAGTCAGGAAATAGCTGAGGGAAAATTCGACCTGAAAAAAAAATGCAAGCTGATACATGTAGGGGCAAAAAATACAAAATATTGTTATACAGAGGAAGGGGGACATTTACAAAGCAGTACTACAGAGGCCAGGAGAAATAATAAAAGAAAGGGATCTCTTAAAGCACAGTGGATGAGGGCTCTGAAATGTGAGGCAGAGACAGAAAAGAGCCAATGCAGTTCTGAGCAGGCTGGACAGACTCATCAAATCACAATGAGGGAAGAGAGAGATGAGGGTCCTTCACTGTGTGGTACTAGGAAACCTTGAGGAGCTTGTTATGAAAAGATGTTAGCAAAACAATGAGAAAAGAAGAGAAGAAAAGCAAAACCAACAGCTTAAAAGATACAGTACCACCTTTTCATAACTTGGCTCATTATGAACCAATGACATGACAAGACTGAACCTAAGCACATTTCCTGAAAAGTAATCATAACAGCTCACATTTATTTAGTGCCTTCAGATTTTCAAAGTGCTATACGTGTGTTATTATACATACATATTACATTACATTACATATATAATACTTATATATTGTCATTTGTTTCTACAATAAACTGTGAGGTGAGTGCTACTACTATCAACGTTTTACAGCTGAAGAAACTGAGGGGCAAAGTAGTTAAAGGGACTTGCTTAGGGTCACACAACTAGTAAATATTTAAGAAAGGATTTGAACCCAGTTTTTTTGACTGTTATTTTATCTCCTATGCCACATGGCCTCTCATATGAAAACAACATAAAGCAAAAGCCAGAAAAAAGCAGGGTTAATTCCTTAAAGGGGAGGAAGCTGTTCCCTCCCACCTTTTCCCTTTACCCCAATCCCAGGGCTAGAAAGAGGTTTCTTTTTATTTGAAGTGATGATATCCATATGCTAAATGAGTAAGGAGGGCATGCAATACACAGCCAGCACTGGGAAAGGAGAAATAACAGAATAAGGAGTGAGCTGATGAAATACAACAAAGGAAAATGCAGTTTGAACCACTGGAGAAGTCTCCCTGGGTGACATCTAAATGGTCTACAAATGGACTTTGAGCGGGAACTCCCATTGCTCCCATAATGTGAAACAGCATTGGACTAGTGTGCAGAGGCACGATGTATGGAAGGAAGCATGCAGGATGTGTGGGTAGTGGGTGGGAGGTGGGGGGAGGGCGAGGGGAGACAGGGAGGTGAGAGGGTGGGGCAGGGACGGGGAATGCAGGCAAGATGACCTAATACTGCATTCTATCCTTAATCATTCTATGAACTCACTCTTTATGGATTCGAGTTTTAAATGTGTGGTTTGTTTTTCTTTGCAGAATGTTTGGATCCCTCCAAGCAAGGAGTGCTGGTAAAGAAACCTTCCTTCCCCCAGAGAAAAGCCAGGGGTTAAATCTGCAAACTGGCAGTGTCTGGAGAAACAATAAAAGGAAACCGCATTCTCCATGAATGAGGGGAGAGAAGCGGGGCGGAAGGCATTTTTTCCCCCCTTAACATGAATAAGGTCTTCAATATGTCTGAAATTATTTAACAAATTCTTTGAAAAGGAGCTTGGGTTACTAACAGACAGACCATGCATAAAGAAAATGCATTCCCCTAGCTTCCCTCTCTGCCTCAACCCCAAAGACGGAAGGCAGGGAGTTTTGGGGGGTCTTTGTTTAGTTATCCATTAACGATTCATAAAATTCCAGATCCCTGCGCAATAAGTAGAGTCCTCTGAATGTTATTAGAAAATCCTATTTCTAGTCTGTTATGAAACAGAAGTTTTGATGTGCAGCCAGATTTTTGTGGAACTCTGGAAGCGGAACACTTGGTGCTCTGTAAAGCCTGAGACCAAGCGGGTGTTACATAAAAAGCTTTCCTAGCAACTCAGGTTTATCACAAAATGAGAGGCAGCCGTGGGGAAAAAAAAAAAATCAAACGAGTTAATGCAAAAACAGGAGCCAACCCACTATCCCCATTTGCTCCAAAGCGACAAATATGGAGGACTGATTTTAACCTGTGATAGGAAGGAAGACGGTATAACAAGCATTTCTGTCTCTTGGTTTTTCTGCAGGTATGGTCCATCTCCTAGGAGAGATGAATGGCGTGGTTGTGAAATTGCCTGGCCAGCTAACCCAGACATAATGGAAGACAAAACAACTGAATTTTTTTTTGGTCCCTGAACTAATTGCTTATTGAAATGCACACAAACACGTCTTCTTTCCTCTTCTTCAGGCCTCTCCCAGTTATTCTGGGTACTGCAATGATAAAAGAAAGTAAGGTCACATCATCAAATCTCTGCCAATTGAAACACATCTAATGGCGAGACGGCATGTCTGAAGCAAATGGATAAAAATCTCATTTCTAAGCTATTGGATCCAAAATTATGCAGATTACAATCAAATCCCTTTTGGTTGTTGTTGTTGGGTTTTTGTGGGGTTTCTTAAAGGCATACATCCAGTGATTTTTTTTAATCCCTAAAGTTGGGGGATTTAAATCCTAGGTAAGGAAGGAACCTCACAAAATTCATTTTGAAGCTACAATTAAGAACCAAATGGTCTACTGTTATTTTTTTAAAATGGCAGTTCAGATCAAAGAAAGCCATAGAGAGGAAAAGAAAAAGGTTTTCCCTGGCAGGTAATTGATGGGATTTTTGAGCAAGAGGGTGAGAGGTGTGAACAGGAATATGGGTGAGGAAGGCCTGGAAGGCTGAAAGGAGTAAGACCTTTGGAGAGAAGAGGAAATTCCTTTGATGAAAGGTCCCTGATATCCCCGGTGATTCAAATCTTCCACATAACAATCTCATTCATTGTACCTACTTCAGGTCTCAGCTCTGTGCCCATTAATTTGACTCCCAAAGGAAAGAGCACAATTTGGGAGGGGAAAGGACTTTTTTTTTAACACCCCTGCTTTTCCATTTGATTGCCATACTTTCCTTACACAAAAGTCAGAGATCTGAGGAAGACAGAGTTGACCTTGACAGTCTCTTGAGGTATTCACAGATAGCTAAGCCCTGCTGAACTGGTGTTCAGGAAGAGAAGGCAGGGGTGTGGAGGGTGGGGGTTGATGGTGGCAAGTTCCTTATTTGCATTCAAAAAACAATGGATCTTGGATGGCTTCTGGGTCAGGATCAGAATGTGTGATCCTGCTTTGTCATGGTAGGCAAGCAAAAATCATGTAAAAATTTGGAAAAGTGACTTGTACTGAGCTACCTTATTTCTAATTTAATTAAAACCGAAACAAAAATAAAAAGGAGGTGGGGAGGGTGGTGCAACCAACCAAAAGCAGGGGAGTGTGGTCTGAGTCACTCTTAAAGTAAATCTTATTGCACTATTTAATAAAAGAAGGGGAAAAAATCCCTTGCAGAACATCTCACAACAAGAATCCTCTTCTGCCCCACAGGCAGGTGGAAGGATCCTGTCTGCACAAGGACCCTGTGTGCTGGAGAGCATCTGGCCACTCTGCTCCAGCCAGCATGGTCATAATGAGCCAATTTCAATTGAAATGAGATCAATACTATTCATTTTTCCTCTAGCTGGTTCCCAAGTGATTCATGAATTTGAAAACTAGTTCATGAATCAGAGCAGGGTGGGGTGGTGAGGACTGGAGGCAAGGGCTGGGGAATATGTGTGTGCAGTTGCAAACCTGGATTTCTTTTCATCAACACAGCCATTTAGTTGCATAACGCTGGGGTTGATTGCTAGTTGAGACCAGTCTTTTAGGAAGTAGAAGCATTTGTTCAACTGAGGACTTCTTTGACTAGGATCCTTCTAGAGTGGGAAAGAGTGACACCATGTACGGGAGTATGCTTAGAGATCTGGCCTCCATACCTTAGCCCCTTGGTGTTTGCACAATTATATGCACTTCTGTGAATGCATGGGCATGTGTGCATGCATGCATGCATATGCATGCATGTATGTGCCAGTGTTCATATTTCTAGGTTTCTCTAGGATGTGCCTGTTGTATGTGTGACACACACAAGATGTGGAACTGGCCATGGGCCCTTTAAATCTGTGCTGGGGCCAAGCCCATTTCTCTGTGGAGCTTGGTAAGGGAGCACATGATGAGGGCAGTTGGAAACCACAGCCCTGTAAGTGCTGATTACAACCTACTAAGGAAAATGAGATTTTTATCTCGCAGGAATTCAGTTATAAAAATAAAATACAGCGTCTGGCTTGATTCAGCTAAACGTACTCGCACCAGGGTGTTTTTAATTTAACCGAGAAGCCCGGCAAGAAGAATGACCTAAAATACTGCGTTGAAAGAAAGCAGGGGGAGGAGGGGAGGGAAGGGAGGAAGGAAGGAGAGAGGTTATGAGAGAGAGAGAAGGAGGGAGGGAGCTGGAAAGAGGGAGGGGGGTGAAAATCACCCTCCTGGCAAATGAATGCAGCAGGGATGATGTCATTGGAACAGTTGGGGGAGAAAAGAGAAAAACAACTCTGCTGTACTAATCCTGTTTGCTGCCCTAAAGGGAATGGAAGACAGCCAAGGCAGGGAGTTCTGGGAAACCATATAAGGGTGCCAAACAAGCTTTGCCGCCAACATTAGGAACTGACATCTTTGTTCTTTGTAACTTGGCTGCCTGCCAGAGGCCTCATTTCAGCTCTGCGGCATGATTACACTGGACATCTGCCAGCTGAGCTCTGTGAGAGCTCCTTTTCTTCTCTCCAAGCTTTTTTTTTTTCCCCTCCTCTTTCCTTTTGCCAAACATGCAGCAGTTACCATGGCAGTCGAAAGTAAAGTTAAAAAAAAAACCCAACAAAGCAGAGAGGCACGCCTTTATCCAGATGCGCCACATGTGCAGATATAAAAAGCAGCTAACCTATTAATCAGGCATTTCATAAAGAGAGAGAGAGAGACAGACAGACAGACAGACAGACAGAGACAGACAGAGAGAGAGACAGAGACAGAGACAGAGACAGAGAGAGAGAGGAGAGAGAAGAAAAGAGGGGGGGAGAGAGGGAGAGGGAGAGAGAGAGAGAGAGAGAGAGAGAGAGAGAGAGAGAGAGAGAGAGAGAGAGAGAGAGAGAAACTCAAGCAATAGCAGTAAAGCTGGGAAAGGTGACCCAAGGATAAACAATAAGCATCCACAGCCAAAATGGCCCAGTATACCCGGAAAAAAAAGAGAGAGAGAGAAGAGAAAAGGGCTTCCTCCTCCAGTTTGTTTTCTTTCCTTCTCTTGAAGACATCTTGGGGTGCTGAATGTGAAGTGGGAAATGCCCTGATTTCCACTGGAAATATGTCCCCTGTGTCTAAAAAGCTTCAGAAACCCGCATTCATAAAGCATTAAAGGGAGAAGTGATGAGGGCAGGCAGAGAGAGGGAGGAGGGTGGCTCAGTTGAACTCTGCTTGCCCAGGTGAAACACGCCTGCTGACAAGATTCAGCCGATTGGGGAAAAAAGGAAGGGTTTTTTTTCTTTTCTTTTCTTTTTTTCTTTTGGCCTTAGGACTCTGTGTAGCGAAAAGATAATATTGCAAGTTACATGCTGTACTGTACAATTAGCCTCTATTTAGGATTCTTGCATAGAGGCCAAGGGGGCTTCCTATTAATTTGTGGACACTGCAAGAGCTTGATGGGCAGCTGGATTCCTCTAACAGGAGGGGTGTGGCTAGACTGACCTTTCAGGTCTCTTTTACCCCCCCCCAATTCAAGATGCATAGAGTAGTTTCACTTTACAAGGAGACTATATATGAAAAGTTCATTGCCCAGTGATTTAGAGTTGAGCCTACTATTTTTAATCAGGTTCATTTTTCACCTGCCTGAAAAGTGGAACATCTCTTGGGAGGTGACAAGCCATGATCAAAGGAAGGTCTCCAAGCAGATAGAGTTGGCTGGTTTCCGAGGGGAAGGTTACTGAGAAGTAAGGATTAGGTTGCCAGCTTTTCCCCCCACTGCAAAATCTGACACCCCTCAGCAAGATTCTCAGAGGGGCCAACCCTGAAATTCAGAAGTAGCTCCAATGGGAGCTGTCGACAGATTTGTTGCCCCTTTTCTGGCCCTAAGAGGGGAGGGTAGATGCAATGAGGTCTGTGGCAGCCTCTCTGGAAAAAAGCCTGGCTCATTGTTATCTTTAGAATGGCCACACCTCGGGCTCACATGGAGGCCTACTTTTGTTTCTCCTGAGTAGGCACCATTTTATCTCTTTTCCAGACAGAGAAACTAAGGAAGAGGCCTACCTGCTTCATCAGAGCAGTGCCTAAGGCCATGGTAAATCAGGAGGTAACCCTCAAAATCCTGAATCATTGTCCTTCCCATCCCCTGCCTCATTTCAGAAGAGTACTCATTTTTTCTCAGAAACTGTTCCCAGTCAGGGACTGGGCTCTTGAGTAAGTTAATGTCAAACTCATCCTCATAGAATTCGAGGTGGTTTGACTACAGCACTGAGTGAAACTATCCATTAAGGCAAGAGTTCTTCTCCTGAGAGGTCTGGGAGAGGGTGGTATGTTGATAGATTTCAGAGGATCTAGGGGGAAAAAAACCCACTACATCATTATTTTCACTAACCTCTAATTGAAATTGAGCATTTCCTTCCATTTTGAAGGTAAGCAACAAACATTATTCTGAGAGAGATGTCCACAGGCTTTACCAAGACTGCCAAAGGCAGCCATAACATACAAAAAAGATGAAGAATCCCTGTACCAAGGGGTGCAGGAGCTCTAGTCTTCCTTAATTATTATCTGCAACCTGAATCTACTGTCCTTAGGGTCTGAGGACAGGGGCTGCCTAGACATAATAGGTGATTGTATCTCTTTGACCTATGCCAGAGAGATCTAGTTATAGCCACTTCTACTCTTGGGTCTTTGAGGATGATATTACTAGCAGAGAGGTAGCCATTGGGAGTTAGGAAGAGAAGTGCACCCAGGAGTCGTAATATCCATGACAGGCAGCCATGAACCAGAAACAGCAACCTCTCCAGTAACCTTGGCAATGTATGGGAGCTCATGAAAGGTTGGTGGTAAGAAGGATGGAGAAGGAAGATCTTTCACAGAATTTAGCTTAGATGAGAAGGAGGTAGAATTTAAATTTACATCTCTTGACTAAACTGTTCAGAAGAAAAGGGGTGGCAAGTCACAGGGGAAAGATGAATGGATTGAATTGGAGCCGGAGGACCAGGTTCTACCACTTACGACCTATATGACCTTGGGGAAATCATTTCATGATTCTGGGCTTCAGTTTTCTCATCTGTAAAATGATGGAATTGAATTAGATCGTCTCTGAGATGCCTTTCAATTCTAAATCTGTGCTCCTGTGATCAACTTATTTTTTTTAAGAAAAGAAATAATCATAGCTAATAATTGCTAACATTTATATAGTGCTTTAAGGTTTATATCTCTATATATGTATACACATACATACACACATATATATGTATATATATTCTCACTTAATTTTACAACAACCATGTAAGGTAAGTGGTCTGATTACCCCCATTTTGTAGATGAGAAAACTGAGGCTGAGTGAGATTAAGTGACTTGACTACAGTGGCAACCGCTAGTAAGTGTCTGAATCAGGATTTGACCTCGGCACTCTATCCAAGACTACACTTGAAGGCTTCAAAGCTCCTGTTCTGACATCATCCACATAAGTCTCCCTCCACTGATTCAGCTCACAACTTATCCCTACCTTCTCAGAAGTTTTCATCATCTGCTTTGGACAAAACATTCATTACCTTGTGGCCAGTTTTTGGATGAGGAAGCTCTCGACACTTAGGTTGGTCTTCAGAAGACAATCTATCAGGAGGCTTGGATTGAACCCCTTCCCGTTGCGTAGCACCCCCTACAGCTTGTGCTTCTCTGTGGAGGGGTCACATCCATGTCGCTGTGAGGCACTGGAGTAGGATTTGGGTGGAAATCCCAGGACTATGTGTTCTTGATTTTTTGAACAGAACTGATTTCAAGGGAGGGGGGAAATACTTTTAATTAGGCTTTACCAGAAAGACTATCATTTGTCTGACCCTATATGTGGTTCCATATATGTGGTTGGGAAAATATGGTCACTGGAGGGGTGATGGATCTCACAGGGTTAAAAAGGTAAGGGTGAATTTAAGGGC